TTCCAGAGCCATAGCCTCAGAAATAAGAGAGGAGTCACCATTTTTGGCTAGAAGTATCTCTTTCTCTACAAGAATCTCGTCACAGTTTTCCTTCAAAAGTCAGAAACAGGGCTCAAATCAGGTAGTGAAAATCGAATGTAGAAAAATCCGAAACCCTAATAATCCAGAACATGTTAAACACGGAACAAACCTCTTCACTGAGAACAGAAGTCGAGGAATCAGCAGAGGCATCTTTCTCCGTTTTCTCGTCGCTCGCCATTACCGGAACCCTAAAACAATCGAAACTAAGAACTCAAAAGAGATGCCCGATGCCTTGTAAAATAGGAACTAAACACAAATAAGCAGATAGGGTAAACCCCCAAAGCAAACAGCGAGCTATTTCGGATCAGAAAATCGCCGGATAACAGCACTGAAATGACAGGAAAGGTGAGAGAGACTTACGGAGTGGTTTTAGAGGAGCGCAGACTAACCATCGCCGGAGGATAATGAGAAATTCCGTTAAGAAATCACCCAACAGTCTCCGTCGCTTTTGGAGAGAGCAGCAGCAATTCGAAACGAGACGAGGGTTTAATGAACTGACACACACACACTTTCGCTTATTTTTAAATTTTTATTTTGTTGTAATTAATTAGAAGCAGCGCATGCGGAAGCGGGAAACTTGAAATGACACTTTAACCCCTAGGTTTCCCGCCTAATCCGTGACTAGACTTGAAACACTAGCGGTGAATGGTGATGCTTTTTTCTACTATGCACTCGAAAATTAAAATCAAAACACTGATAAGCTGAAATGGTTCTTGTTTAAAGATTTAAAATGCGCAACATATTGTCAGATGAAATCAAAAAGAAACGAAATTCGACATAAGTAATCATCACACACACAAACAAGTTTATTTGTTTATCGCTACGGAAGAAAATAACGTCAGCAGCCATTAGTTTTAATAATCGCGCGACTTGGAACGCTCTGAACGCTTGTACTCACGATCATCATAACGGTATTCTTCTTCCTCCACTCTCCCATAACGATCATCGTACCTGTCTTGCTCACCTCCTTGTTCCTCCTCACGCTCATCATAACGGCTTGAACGTCTACTGCTACGCCCTTCGTAGTACCCATGACCACCTTCCTCTGACTCCCCTCTCCTCTGCTTCGACCCACCTCTCTCATACTCACCTTCTTCTTCATACTCTCCGCTCTCGTACTCCCGTTCCCTTTTCCTACTCCTCTCACGATCGTGATCTCGACTACGACGGTCTCTATCTCCTCTGTCACGTCTGCTCTCTCTTTCTCTGTCCCTGTCTCTACCTCTGTCCCGGTCTCTGTGGTGCTTATCCTCTCTATGGCTCTCTCTCGGTCTATCACGAGACCGTTCACGGGACCTCTCATGAGACCTTTCGCGAGACCGCTCATGAGACTGCTCGCGTTCCCTTTCTTTGCCCCTATCACGAGATTTCTCACTGCATTCACCACATTATAAGACACAACAAAGTTAGTGGAAGAAAAAAGACAATACATGGGTTTTGTGAAGAAAGAATAGTCTTACCGGTCTTCACGGGCTTTAGGCTCCTCGGAGCGAGACACTCTTGTTTGGGATGGCTGTTGTTGTTCCTCCTCGCCAGCAATCTTCTCACCGGTAACTCTGGTGGTACCAAGTCCACCACCAAGCCTACGGGGACGCCAGTTAGGTACAGTCCTACCTCTCTCTACATCAACCAACACCCTTCTACCATCAATCTTCTTTCCATCACCCTGTTTATATGCCGCTGTAAAAGAACACCAATATTAATATCAGTAAAGATATAATATATAGTTTGGAACAGAGAGGAACATTACAAGTTGGTTTAACGTACCTTTCATGTCACGGGTGTTCAAATACTCAATGAAGGCATAGCCTTTGGGTTTATTGGTTTGCTGATCAGTCACCAAATGAACCTAACGAGTTGACAAAACAAAGAAATCACGAACTCTGGAAACTTGAACCAGCTTTCAGATACTTTGTGTTACATGTCAAACAAGCACAGGCAACCTTTTTCTTAACAGGCTTCCACATCATCACCACATCAAGAATTGGCAGAAAAATGGATTCCAAGGCAGGTATAACGACCCCTTACCAGGGTTCTAAAACTTTTATGATATGAAAATATTTATAATGTACTAGTTTACCAGATCAGGTTCATAGAGGATACTACTTGTGCTAGCCTTTCAAGCCAGAACACAGAATTTTTAGTAGATTTGTTTAAATTGCGGAAAAAAAAAAGAGAGAAGGGTTGGTATACTCACGACTACTGTTTTAATATACCTCAGGACTATGAAACCTGTGAGCGTATACTCTTGATGTCATAGTAAAAAGGAATATATCCTCACGAAAAAACAGTTCAAAATGTAAAAGTTACCTGACCTATACCTGTTCCTATTGATGACTTGCCCGAAACATCTCAACCAATCACCACGGGCAGAAAATTTTGTAAAATTCAACTACTGACCGTGATGGCTCTTACTACTTACTTAAATTTGGCGTGTTATAAGAAAATTCAAAACCTTATAGACTTGTGGTCGTAAAACCAAACATATTGCAAAGAGAACATGAGGACTTCTTACCGAACCTGTTAGGGAACGTTCAGAGATACATACCTGCTTAATTGGACCATAAGCCTCAAACTCCCTTTTAATCTTACTCTCAGAGGTCTCGTAGTTCTGAAACAAAAAAAAAAAAAAGACAAGAGAAACATTAAGTCACGCACCACAAAACATACCTGTCCCGTCCATGAAAGTGATATCAAGAAGCAGCACAACTTACAAGTCTGGCAACAAACAGTGTCTTGTAGGGATCTCCAGAAGCATTGGGATCATTATTCGGATCATCTACCAGAAAAAAATACCAAATTGTAACTTCAAGTCACCAAAACAAATCTGGCTATATAATTATAAGGGTGAAAACTTTACATTTCTGTAGATCCTCAGCAGCCTTTTCAACACCTTTCTCCAGTCGTGATTTATGAATTCTCTCCCTTTTTTGAGCCTGGTCGTCCAAATAAAACAAAACAAATATAAATGTCACAGACCCTAGCATAGTAAAGAGAGATAGATTGACATGACACATACAGGTGTTTCAACTTCGGGCTTAGGTGGAGCATACTCTGGATCTCCAGGTTCAGCAAAGCGGCTCACAAATTGAGCCATGCCTAAAATAAAATAAATACAAACGGATCAAAAATCAACTCTCAAGACAATAAAAAAGAGTAAAGTGGAACAGACTCAGATGCTAAGTAGAAAAACCTGTATAGGGAGGGCATTTTCTCTTCTCAGGTGGTGGCAGAAACTCCAACGGAGGTCGGGGCTCAAAGAGCTTCAAGAGATTGGGTGTTAAGCCAGTAGGGTGACTTTGACCCATCTGTAAATTACCAATAGATCATTATATCAAGACTCAAACATGCTTCAGAGCTTTTAAACTCGAGCTAAACTCAGATTTGAAACCTAATCGATATTCAGAAGCAAATCTCGCAATAATACATAGCAATTAAGCATTGAAAGAGTTTATTTTAACAAGACAGATCAACCAAATTCGTATCAAGCAGCTAAGAATTAACAAAATATCAGTGAATCTCGCTATATTACATAACAAATTAAGCATTGAAAGAGATGATTATTCTCAATCAACAAAGGCTATACTGAAAGAGAACTATCAAATTCGCATCAAGCAGCTAAACAAAGGAGAGGTGAATCGTAAGAGAAAAGAAGAGACGAACCAGCTTGAGCTGAAGAACATTGGATCGGTTCTGAACCTTAGGGCGAGCCTGGACGGCTTGGTTACGCATGAAAGGATCGTTCATGTCCCCCATGGCTAAGGGCGATCGGAGCTCAGCTAGGGTTTTCTGAGAGGAAGAAGATGGAGATTGGGGGTTCCCCTTGTTGATTATTAAAATTTTTAACACAAAGCTGGGTTTAGGTGATTTCGTTACTTGTTTGGAAAAATTGGGCCGAGCTTAGAGCGTAAAGATAATCCAAACATAAAGAGGACATTATCATTCAAAGGCCCAATAAAGCCTGAAAAGAGGTTTTCAAAATTTTAGTAGTAGACTTTGATTGATCCATAACACTAGTGGAAGAAAAAATAACACTAATCATGGACATTTTTGTTTTTGCTTTAGTAGGGAGTAGATGATGATGATGATGAGACTGATTTTTCTGACATGATGGAGTGAGTATATGTATGATTACACCACGCTGGCCCGGCGACTATTACTACACTAGCTTTGATAAACTCCGCCGAATTCAAACTTGAAGAAGCTTCCCCCCCCAAGCTTCTTATTTCAATCGACGGCTGCTTCGTTTGGAGGAGACTTGAGTTCCTTTGTCCGCTAGTTTCAGTGTCTTTGTAAGTTCCCGTACGTTCTGCAAATACACAAAGTAAATACATAGATAATTAAGCAAAAACATAAGCTCAAGGTTTCTAAATGGGAAAATTAATTCTATGGACTCTGTGGAGTATGGATCAAATGCTTGTTTACAACTCTCCTAAGCATCTCTACACTACCGGTTGAGAAAATTATTGACAACTATTGTATTCACAACTATTATTTATTTTTTAAGATTGACAAGATCAAGGCATAGAAGTAGACAGTAGATACTGTCATATCAAACCAACGCACAGAGAAGAGAATGCTACTGTCATCACGCGGAGGAAAGACACAGAATATCCACACATTTTGCAGATCCATCTCTCTACCTAATGTGGCTTATTGTGAAAGTAATAATGCAGACAGAAGCTAACGTTCATTGACCGGTATAAGGATATTAATAAGATCTTTCCAAAAAGTTATAGAAGATTAATCCTAAAGGAAATGACTCATTGTATAACCAGAGCTATCTAATCAGAATGAATCTATGACCTAAACCATTTTCAAAAGAGCTAGTAGTAGCAGTGTTAAACGTCGGTGGATGTCAGATTCATTCTCACCGTGGAATGCACTGGAGGCGGATCTATGACAACAGATCGTATAGACATCCTGGCAATCTCCGAAACGACAGCTTCAACAACATCAGGTGCATCACTGGTAAGCTCCCCGTAAGCAGCCTCGAACGCCTCCTGCCAAAACCTCGGCAACCTAATACGACGGCCATTGTTATAAACATCCCACATATGCTTCACCACTTTCTCCCTCTCCTCCATTTCCTAATCCAAACCCTTAAATTAAATCCTAACCAAAACCACGAAAATCTGGAGATTAGGGAAAAAGAAGAGAGACTCACGAGTACATCGAGATCCTCGTAGATCGGAAACACCAGATCGTCTGTGAAATGGCTTATGTTCCCGGCTGACCAACGCAGATTCACGGTGCCGGTTAGCATTGACCAGAAAGCGAGCAACAGAATCGCCGCTAAGGCCCAGAACTTGTATTTGCCTTTCGCAAAGAGCGCAGAGTAACCGCTCTCTTTCTCTGCCGTCGTATTCGACGCGACGGAAGAGGAGTTGCTTAATGGTAAGGTGTCGCCATTCATTGGCGCAGAGTGAAGCGATCTCGGAGACCAAACAAGTGTTGAATCTCTCTTTAGGGAGCCTCGTTAATTTTCCCAATCTGGAAATAAACTTATGAGGAAAAACCATATACAAATAGAGGCCAAAACTATGGTTGTATTTTCTTCAGGACCAAAAAAATATTATAAGGTAGTCTTATTTATTTATTTTTGGGTCATTGTTTCTCAAAGAGAGTAAATTACTTTGATTAGCTTGATGATTTTTTTTTGTCAACTGTTTAGTGAATTTAATTTCACTATTTTTACTTGTCAAATTAGTATTTTTATAAGAGAAAAAAATGAATATTTTTGTCAGCAAAATATAGACATTATATAATAGATAAGGTTTATTCCTATATATATGTCTATAAAATATGTATTTTTTTATTTTAGTTTGTGGTAAACGAACATAACTTCCATAGGGCCTACTTATTAAAAACCAGAGCCAGCATTGTCCTTAACAATAAATGGCCCGACCCAAATATCTCAAAATTCATCATACAAATTAACATGCCAACATTTCGAATTTTACAAGAATAAACAGCCCCCTAAACCACTGATGGACTGAATAAACAGCTCAACAATACAAATCATTCGGCCCAGATGAGTGAATTGATCTTGGATAATTACTTTATACTAACAACAATCTGTAAATACAATATGAAGAGGTGGAGTGGCGGTAGTACGCAGAAAACCAAGCTAGTTCGTGTGTTTTGTTCTTCCACATGTCATGGTCATGTTTGTCCAACGGATGTAAATCAGATACACAAAACCCACATGGCAGCATCTGAGCCTCTCAAACGCCTACAAGGCATGAACACGTTAAAACAAAAGCTGACCGAATAATACCAAAAGTCAATATAATCAGACAAAACATTGCATTCGTTTGGTTATATAGTTTCCTTAATCAGAAAAAGAAAAACAAGAAAGAACAAAACAAAACGCGATTATACATTTCACTACACGACAACATCCACGGTCAAATTCGTTGGAGTGTCTAATGTGAACTCTTGTGGAGTTGGTTATTCGTTCAACAACAAAAATTGGAAATTATCTTTTACTGAGGCTGCGTCCGACAACGGGACGGTAATACCTCCTTTGTCTTCGGCCCAAGACAACGACAGTCATTTTATATATATTTACTTGTTATACCATCCTCAACTTTAAAATGAAATCTAAATTTTTATATATTTACTTGTTATATCATCCTCGTCATAAGTCTTTTAAGTAAGTCTTCTTCTATTACTATATTTTTCAGTCGAATTCTTAATAATCCATATAATTAAGAGTAACAATTAGCAGTGATCTGATTTTTCACACAATCACAGAAAAAGATAGAAAATGAGGTCACATCCACTTAAACTAAAAATACATGGTCAGTTGATTACGTAAACATATGTACAAGAGAAAAAAAACAATAAAAAAGACTCGATAATGCATTCATTGGGCACTGCATAAATTTCACATGCCATTTTTATCAGTACACACTCGTTTAGGACTTTTCTTCTTCTAACAAAAAGGTGAAAAGGTATTTACTTATGTTTTTTACTTTTCATTTTTTACACAGTTCTCAAAAATAAAATCGAAGAAGACCAGAAAAGCTGATTGACTGGTAGCTCAAGAAAGAAAGAAGAGAGAAAGTAAACAGAGTAAGAGGAGAGATAGAGAAAGAAGAAGTTTGTGTCTTTTCAAGATGCCGGTTGAATTAGATGACTCCTCTACTGTTTCCGGCGACGCAAGCGTGTCGTCTTCCACCGGAAACCAAAACCAAAACCCAACTCCACAATCCGTCGTGAAGAAGAAACGGAACCTCCCAGGAATGCCTGGTAAACTTTCTTAAAATATCAAAACTTTCTAATTTGAACTGATTCACTAAATTTTAAATTTTGGGGGTTTAAAAATCAGATCCAGACGCAGAGGTGATAGCTTTATCACCCAAAACTCTAATGGCAACAAACAGATTCGTCTGCGAAATCTGCAGCAAAGGGTTTCAACGAGACCAGAATCTTCAGCTCCACCGTCGCGGTCACAACCTTCCGTGGAAGCTCCGACAGAGAACGAGCAAAGAAGTGAGGAAGAAAGTGTACGTTTGTCCTGTGTCGGGGTGTGTTCATCACGACCCGTCACGTGCTCTTGGAGATTTAACTGGGATCAAGAAACACTTTTGTCGGAAACACGGGGAGAAGAGATATAAGTGCGAGAAATGCTCAAAGAGTTATGCTGTTCAATCTGATTGGAAAGCTCATTCCAAGATTTGTGGTACTAAGGAGTATAGATGCGATTGTGGAATTCTCTTTTCTAGGTGAGATTTTTCAGACGAAACTCTTTGATTATCTTTTGTCGGAATATTATTTACTTAACTTGTGGATTTGGGTTTTTGTTTTGCAGGAGGGATAGCTTTATAACGCATAGAGCTTTCTGTGATGTGTTGGCTGAAGAGAGTGCCAAGAAGAATCATACTCAAAGTAAGAGACTTTATACTGAAACAGTCATAAGTAAGAATGTCTCAGAATCTGAGCATAAATCTCCGGCCGACGTTGTTTCTCCTCCTCCTCCTTCTCCGCTGTCTGTAGCACCGGCTGTTTCTGCTGAGACCGAGCCTGAACATGAGCCCGAGCCTGCCAATATCATATCCTCCTCGGTTTTGCCGATTAGAGATTCTTCAGGTACATAATAATAATAATAAACTCTCTGCTGAATGGGAAAATGGGGAACAGCTTTTGTCGCCTGTAATAACTTCAAGATGTGTGTTATGTTTTTGGTGATCTTGGAGTTTAGTTGGTTTTGTCTGTAGCGCCGTTATATTTTTATTAGCTCACAAAAGTCTCAGACTCTTATGTTAATGACCCATCATCACATTCTTTTATCTGTTGGCAGATGATACAGAAAACAACACTCTTGAAGTCATTATGGAAGAAGAAGCTCCGAGAACGATCGGTTTGAATGGGAGCAATGATGACAGTAACAACAACAAGACCGTGTACGCAGGCTTGTTTGCATCATCATCCACAGCTTCACCTAGTTTATATGCTGCTTCCTCAACTCATTCCCCAAGTCTATTCCCACCATCTTCCTCCATGGAACCCATATCTCTCTGTCTCTCGACGACGAGTCCTTGTTTATTTGGAGCAACCTTACAAGATCCACCACCACATTTCCTAACCCCTCCACCTCAACCAGCTATCTCAGCAACCGCATTGCTTCAAAAAGCTGCCCAGATGGGTTCCACTAGTTCAGGAGGTTCGTTGCTTCGCGGGTTAGGCATAGTGTCAACTACTTCTTCACCTATGGAACTCAGCAGCCACGATGCTGGGTTTGGTCTTGGCCTGGGACTACCTTGTAGTAGCGGAACGGGTCTGAAAGAGCTAATGATGGGGAACTCTTCAGTGTTTGATCCGAAGCAGACAACACTTGACTTTCTCGGATTGGGAAGAGCTGTTGGTAATAATAATCCTGGTGGTGGGTTGTCTTCTGCTCTGTGGGGAGCTGGAATGGATGTGTTTGGAAGTGGCAAAGACATTGGTAGAAGAAGCTCGTAAGAGACACATGAAAGTAGAAGAGCAGAGCAGTGTAGTGTTATTAGGTTTTTAAAGTATTGTATCAGATTTTAGTATCTTATTATTATAGTAAAAGCTTGTTGTAGTGTTATCATAAACCTTGTAGTGGCTAAAAGCATAAACAATAACAAAAAAATGAAAATGAAAATTCTTTGTACCCTATCATGTTCGTATAATAGTATTGTTTGCCTATAAGAGAGTTCCAACTTTCATCACTTGGACAAACAGTTTCTGAACATCTTTAGAAGCGGAACCACCATGTTCACCACTTTATTTCCCTTTTTCTTCTTCTTGGTCATCATCATCTTCAGCCCAGGACAGTCGCAGACAGCGTGTTCCTGAACCAGCTTGCTTGTTGAATCCTCGGTAGCTACACTGGTATTACTATTTGGTGAAGCGTCATCATCATCTGAACATAAGCTTCTAAGCAATTTTTCTAGTGAAACTGTAATCTCTTTGAATTCAGGACGAGCTTTAGGATCCGCTGCCCAACATGCTTCAAGGATAGAACCAACTCCTTTCGGAAGATTATCCAGACTTGGTCTCTGGTTCTGAAGAAAGTAAAAGATTCATAGATAACAGATCAATGTCACTGATTCAAGTGATTTTTTGAGGTTAAAGAGATGTGTGGCTTTGCTTACTTTACAGGCAGCATAAGCTACAAAGATGTTGTTCTTCCCTTTGAATGGGGTTTTGTTGGTAAGCAACTCCCAAAAGACAATAGCGAAGCTGTAAACATCCACCTTATGATCATAGTCTTTCGCCTCATAGCTGAATAACTGAGAAAAGAAACAAACATCTTTGTGATACCAATGCAAAAGATTGAAAAATCTACCTGTGGAAACAATTAGTTTAAGAAACAATCACCTCGGGAGCCATCCATCTATAAGTACCAGCTTCAGAGGTCATGAAACCTTTAGTTTCCTCTCTAGCAAGTCCAAAATCAGCCAACTTTACATGTTTATGATCCCTTGTTAACAGCATATTCCCTGCAACATAAGTACCAAACTTGCTCAATTCCACAATCGTCATTTCTCTCTATTATGATATTTAACTAAAAATGAATCATTTATTACTAGGTTTCAAATCACGGTGAATGATGCCATTAGCATTCAAGAACTCCATTCCACGAGCAATATCCAAGGCAAAGCTAATGGAGAGCTTGAGATCAAGAGGGTTTGGACGAGTAGTCAACATAAACTTGTGAAGAGTATTGCCTTCCATGAGTTCAGTAATTATCATCAACTTTGGTTCTATGCAGGCCCCAATAAACTGTCATTCAAAAAATGATCTCAGCTGACAATACTTTGATATAAGACTAACAAATATATGAAAACAATCAAACATGCATTGCCTGGACAATATTTTCATGTCGAATCTTGGAGAGCAACATAACCTCCCTCTGAAACTTCTTCTTCTGCTCAATGGTAACAGAAGATGCTCTTTCAGGCTGGAATATCTTCACTGAGACGGGGTTAACTTTCTTGAACCTATAATCATCCATACAGAAATGTTCTTCAGCACAATATGTTAATTCAACAACTATGCTGCTGTAATACAGAACATAATACTTGATTAACCATTGGTAATTATCTTAATGTAACCAGTTCTCTAGTTTCCTTGCATCAGACACAATATTCCTAGTCAATAAAAAGTTACATGAACTAAACACTTCATGAAGCACTTACTACATTTACCCTGAAACTTGGAATACTAAAGCTTAAACTATTAACACTTCTTCATCACATACTATTGATCTATTTTATCCAAATACTAAAGTAAAAAAAAAAAAACTTGTTAATTCCGCATTGCCTCAGGTTTGTATAAATCACACACTAAAAAAAAACATCTTTGACAGAAATGAAACACTAAGCAGTAACTAAACCCTAAGCAGCAGAGCAGTATAAACCCTGAAACCTCATATACTCTTAGAAAAGATTAAAATTTTGAAGAGCTCAACAATATCAAAATCGCATTTTTATGAAAACCCACAGACCAAAAATACAAACTTTAAACTTTAAAGTCGAGAAAGGCAAAACCCACAATCCTCTGTAGACTTTTGAAGAAGAGCCTACGCCGATCAGTTCTCCTATATAAACGTCTTTGGCATCTACAAGCAACTCGGTGTTGATGCTGACAGGGTACTGATTGTCGGAATCAAGGTCTGAGAGTGAGTCTTCGTGCGAATCAAAGGACTTGAGACCATGTGAGGACATGAGAAACGGGTAGTTCGGATGAAGCGTTTCCTCCACTGACGGAAACTCTGTCATTGACGGAGCTATTTGGTACCCGCGACGTCTCATTCTCAATCTCAACTCTCAAGTGGAGCGACCAAGACGAAAGTGAGTAACTGTGACGGCTGCGTATATATACAAAAATGTTTTGGGGCGTTCGAATAATATCTAATAAATGTGGGACCTTTTCTGAAATTTTTTGTTTTCTTCAAAATGGGAACGGGAGGGAAAAGAGGAAACTTTATATTAAAGTCTTCAACTAAATACTAACAGATTCAACACACAATTATTTTTTATTCAATATCCGTTTCATAATTTATAAACGAAGATTGTTGACTAACTAAATATTCATGTAAGTGAAGATTAGTTGGCAAATGAACCTGTTGTATATCATAAAAATTATAGTAATCCATGATGAAATATATATCTATAGTTCTGCATTTTGAATACAGTTAAAAGAGACACAGGAATACAAGATTTGTAATATATAAATGGAAAACGTATAAGTGATGAAATTAAGAATTTCTCTTTTAGTAAGATATCAAACCAATTGGGTAACTATATATTCAATTTTATATCTAATATGTATAACAAAGGATAGTTTCTGTATATACATTGTACGGAGTAATCTTTTTTGGGTCAAAATATGGAATAATCTCGTAAGTCTTAATTATATGTACTCTAAATATTACTTTTCATCAGACTTTTATATATGAAATTAGAGGAAAAGGGTGAAAACCCAAGTTAAAATATTGAAATAGTTAAATACTTAAACCACTACATTTACAACAGTTTGCCGACATCTATTTCTATACAGCAAATAAGAACATGCATTTCATACATAAGACTCCAAACATTTAGTTTTGAAATTACACAAACAAACCATCCCAATACTCCATGTTTTGAAGATAATTATTATCCATCGTGTAGAATGGGATGCTGTAGTTTGTATCCGGCGAAAACTCGAACTCAATGGGTGCGTAGTTGGCTTCAACAGAAAGCGATGAACTTGAACTGTTTGTTGACGTCTCTTGGACAAGTCGTTCTGATAGTTTTCGAATTTCATTTTGAGCTTCACTCACTTGTTCTGTTAGTTTTAATATCTGAAAAATAAAATACAGACATATAATTAATACCAGTGATAGCCATTAAGTGAAGAAGTAAAGACTAAGACATGAACAATTTTTAATTTTTAATTTTTGTAACAAACAACGATGGTTATAAAATCTTATATCATTAAATTTCACATATGCTTAAATATTGAACAGAATTAATTAACGAATAACCACATATGATATATCTACAGTTATGAACATTAACAACCATAAGTAATTTAAGAATTATCCAGAATGAGTAAAATAAGTCATGTTAATAAGAAGTTTCTCTGTTTTATAATGATGAAGAACAAAATTAATACCTGAGACTCAAGGTGACATTGGCCGAGGAGGACGGTGTCGTGTTGTCTCTTGAGTTTGGCGTACTCTTCTTCGAGTTTCTTGTTCTTCCACCGTGCACGACGGTTCTGGAACCAAACAGCTACCTGTCTCGGATCAAGACCCAACTCTCTGGCGATCTTTTCTTTCCTCCCTGACTCAAGCTTGTGCTCATTCTCGAAGCTATATTCCAGCATATTCATTTGCTCATCGGTCAACTTTCTCTTCCTCAGCATCCCTCCTATCGTCGCCACGTCCTCTTCGTTGGTGGCTGACGACCCTCTGCTTCTCCTCTTTCTCCTTCGCTTCACCGGCTTTGATCCTTCGCCTGATGATGATCCATCGATCTGGTTAATGGTGATGCACTGGCTATGGGGTTGGGTCGTGTATGGGTACACTTGAGAGTCTAGCACCGTCTGATCCATTTCTCTCTCTCTCTCTCTCTCTCTCTCTCTCTCTCTCTCTCTCTCTCTCTCTCTCTCTC